ACCATATATGACAAACTCACAGCTAATATCATACTCAATGAGGAAAAACTGAATGCCATCCCTCTGAGAACAGGAACAAGACATGGTGCCCACTATCACCACTCTTATTCAACATAGTACTGGAGGTTTTGGCCAGAGCAATTAGGCAAGAAAAAGAAATAAAAGGTATCCAAATTGGAAAAGAAGAAGTGAAACTCTCTGCAGATGACATGATTCTCTATGTAGCAAACTCTAAAGAATCCATCAGATAACTATTAGAAATAATCAACAACTACAGCAAAGTTGCAGGGTACAAAATCAACATACAAAAACCAGTTACATTTCTATACTCTAATAATGAACTAACAGCAAGAAAACTCAGGACTACAATCCCATTTGCAATTGCAACAAAAAGAATAAAATATCTACGAATAAATTTAACCAAGGAGGTGAAAGACCGATACACTGAAAACGAGAAAACACTTTTAAAAGGGACCACCAAGAGGGCACAGAAGTAAGGCGTCTACAGAGGTCAAAACAAGACAAAAGGAGCGGGCCCGACCTGGTGGCGCAGCAGTTAGATGCGCACTTTCCACTTCCGCAGCCCAGGGTTTGCCGGCCCAGATCCCGGGTGCGGACATGGCACCACTTGGCAAGCCATGCTGTGTTAGGCGTCCTACATATAAAGTAGAGGAAGATGGGCACGGATGTCAGCTCAGGGCCAGTCTTCCTGAGCAAAAAAAGGAGGATTGGCAGCAGATGTTAGCTCAAGGCTAATCTTCCTCAAAAAAAAAAAAGGACAAAAGGATCAACTTAGGGAGAGGGAACCAAAGCCAGCTGTCTTAATGTTTCTTCCCAAACCTGGAAACCTTGAACTTTTTGATGGTAAAAGACAGGAAATAAAGCCACGGGCCCAAACAAAAATGGAAATCTTATAGGAGACTCCCACATAAAGCTAGAATCTGAAAGGGCTTTACTTTCAATTAAGGGTAAGTAAAAAATAAACCGCAGAAGAGGACAGCAACAAATCTGATTCCATTCTATGCTGGGGAGAGTGGGAGGAAATCTCACTTGAGAATTTGTAACTACAGCCTGGCCTTCATGTGGCTTTTTGTATGAAATTATATCAGTTGTATCTGAAAAACTGAAAGAGGAGAAATTTAATTAAAGTGCTCCCAGAATGTTTGTATAATCAACGGACAGGGGCAAATGCAAATCTTCTCTGGAAGAATGCAATCTCAACCCAGGTCTCAAAGAATCCCTGCAAAGTTCCAAGGGACGCAAGCTCACATTAGAACACGCGCCGGCAAGCTCCGCCCTCCCCACCCGCGAGGACCAAAGCTCCTTGAGTGAGAACCAGCAGAAACAAAAGGCAGCAAAATCAGACCTGTATAGACTACCAGACAGAAATAAAATAAGCATGTTTGATACAGTGAAGAAATAAAAGTTTGTGAGCAAGGAATAAGAGAGAGTTTTTTAAAAAACAAGAAAATTGAAGGAAAATTGAATAAAACTTTTAGAAATGAAAAACTGCTTTATGCAGAAATATTATGAAGGTCTGAGATGCAAGAAGAAATGGTGAGTAAAGAAATGGATAAATATGTTGGGTGAATCTAAATAAACATTGTCTACATAAAACAACAATAATGATGATGTCTAATTTGTAAGGTTAAACAAGATAGAATTCAAATACTGGTCAAAATATAATATAAATTGGAATGGGGTGAAAAACTGTAGTTAAAATATTCTAAGGTTCTTGCATTGTTTGGATGGAGCATCAGGAAATTAAGTAAGCATGTTAAAATGTCTAAGGTAACTCCTGAACATAAACATAGAGATAATTACTTCCAAGGGAGCAGAAGTACGGAGTGGGGAAGGAATAAGCAAAAGAAGAAAAGAAAAAAGAAAATCTATTCAGAAGGTGGCAAGAAAGGACAAAAAAAAAAAAAAAAGAAAGAAAGAAAAGATAGAGAAATGGAAAGCACATAAGATGTAGAAATAAATCAAAGGAAGAAGAGCGAAGACAGAGCCTTAAGACCCTCTGCCGCCAAACGAAACATTGGGAGTTTGCACACACTCTGAAATGATGGGCGTTAATTTCATACTGTTATTAACAAGGAAAACTGAGCATAAACGACCTTTGAGAATAGAAGGCTTTATTCCACAAAAGAAACTTTAACTTTTGAAGACCTATTTCTCAAAATTAGACTTTCATAGACCATTTTTAGGAGCACTCTCATGATTACTAAATTTAGAATGTGTTTTTATTCTTGTAAATGTTGGCCTTTGACTTCATCTGGAGAGTTTTTCGTGTGAACAGCTGTATCATTTGTTATTTTCTCTCCTTTTGTACCAGTCTTAATACTCCTTTTCCCCTTTGTATTTGGAAGGACCTGCTTTTTTAAGACTACAGCTAGGACACCATATTCTAGAAATAAATCAGAAAGCACAAGACCTAAAGACTTAATATAGAAAATGACACATTTTAAAAAAGGAATGCCAGGCCTCTAATATTCTGCTTCTGCAGGATCCTCAGTAGCTCCCTAGAGGGTCCTTGTAAGATTCTACAGTAGATCTTTCCCGAGGTCTGTTTTTTGTTGTTTTTTCCTGCATGCTACTTTCTTCCCTTTGTTCTATAATGCTTTCCCTACAGCTCTAAGCTGATTTCTTTCTTTCTTTTTTTTCTTGATTCCTCATCCTCAAATGAGGCTACTTCTTTATGTCAACAGACAGTACAGGTAGAGTTTGCTTGGGGTGAGGGTCATATCCTTCTCAGAAACACAACAGAGGGCAAGGTGGTGCGCCTGGTCCGCAGTCCAGTTTTCAGCTTACAGCGCCTGCTCCCAGCCCAGGCTTTGCCACTTATTAGCTGTATGGCTTTGGACGAGTTGCTTAACCTCTTTATGCCTCAGTTTTCTCATCTGTAAAAGGAAGCTAAAAAATCTATCAACTTTCTGGGGCTCTTGGGAGGATTAAATGAAATGCTTTCAAAGCTCTTAGCATTGTGCGTTGCCCACGTAAATGACAGATGTCAACTGTCATCCTCCTTGTTACCACCAGTGTGCAGGCACGTGTCTCTGTCCCCGCCGCTCAGTCCCTCACATGCCTAGAGTAGATGCTCAGTATTATGAGTTGAATTATGTCCCTTAAGAGATAATGTGGAAGCCCTAAACCATGGTATCTGTGAATGTGATAATACTTGGAAATAGGGTCTTTGCAAATGTAACCAATTTAGGATGATATCATTAGGGTGAGCCCTAATCCAATATGACTGGTGTCCTTATAAGAAGTGAAGACCCAGACATGGATACACAGGAAATACCTTGTGATGATGGAGGCAGAGATGGGAGTGATGCATCTACAAGCTAAGGAACAGCAAGGATTGCTGGCAACACCAGAAGCTAAGAGAAAGGCATGGAAGAGATTCTTTCCTAGAGACTTCAGTGAGAGAATGGCCCTGCCAACCTCTTGATTTTGGACTACTAGCCTCCAGAAATGGAAGAGAATAAATATCTATTGTTATAAGCAATCTAGTTTGTGGTACTTTGTTAAGGCAGCCGTAAGAAACTAACATGCTCAGTGAGTAATTGCTGAATAACTAATGGATTGTTTCTACATGACCCCAGGGATAAATTCAGATGCAGTAGATGGAGCTTAGAGGGAGAAGATTCTTACTCTACATTAGGAAACACTTTTTTAGAGCCAAAGTAGTTCATAGGTGGGAGGATCACCTCAGAAGGTACTGAGTTCCCCTTTATGGCAAGGAATATAAACTTCTGCTGAATAAACACCTGATGGGGTTGTAGAAAGAAAATTCAAGCCATGGATAGTTGTTTAGACACTGTTCTAAAGCCGAACCGCTGCTGCGCTCGAGAGAATCCCACCCGCCAGGACCGAGCGGGCCGCCGCCCGCCACCTCCCCCTCCCCCCCCTCCTCCCCCTCCCTCAACCCCCCCCCCTCCCCCCGCCCCGCGCTCCCACCAGCTTCTTCCTTAGCCTGTTTGAGGTGCCGCCATCTCAGGATGTCGCAGCAAAGCGGCCCGGGTGCCTGGAGCGCGGCCCCGGTGGCGCAGCGGCGGCCCAGGCTCTGGCTGTGACTTTGCAGCCTGTGTGCCCAGTGCATGATCTTTTCTTTCCGTCGCAGAGCTTTTCATGGGAAGTTGGAGGCGGCTTCCTCAGGCCTGTTAGCCAGATGCCCCCCCAGGATACACCAGTCTCATTCCTGCTTTTAAACTGGGACGCAAGGTGAGGGCCTAGCTGGAGCCCGGGACACCGCCTTTCAGCGGCGAGCAGGGCTCCAGGCCTTTGGTGTGCGCGCCCTTTGGGCACCAAAGAAAGTCCCTCAGCGGAGACCCTGATCCTGACCGGAGCTGGCTGAGAGGGTGTGACAGCCCCAGTTTTACACACATCGAGATAAATCAGAAAATCTGAGGCTCAGCTGTCCTCCCAGGAGTGCTAAGGCTAAATCCAAAGATGGCAGAGGAAAACTGCTAGACAGCAGCCTTCTGCTTCCACCGAACTTCCGCGCCTTTGTGAGGGAGCTGTGTACCGACAGCCCCGGCGCGACACGCGGAACGAGGTTTCTAGGGAACCTTAATGACTGAGTTTCAACAGCGTGTGAATACAGTTTCTTCATTAAAAGTTTAGCTACTTTTACACTAAGGAAGGCCGGATGGGACGTAAATAATAAAAATAAATGCACAGTTCATAAAGATCCTGTGGCCGAAATACGGTCAGGATCACACCCTCAGTCAGGTCACATGCCCTCAGACCCAGCTGGACGCGTACCTTCCTGCCTTTCCAACAGCCCTCCTTTTCCTGCACCGTGATGGGGGCGACGACACAACGATGTCGCGGGAACTCTGGGTATCAGGGTCCATTAAGGATTAAGTGCGCTATGAAGTTAGCATTAGAAACATTTAGGACATCAGTAACTCCAGTAAGAACGGCAATATAGACGCTACACACATATGCTGCTGAAATGCAGCATGACACTATAAAAGCAATAAATGTTCCACAAACATTTTCAAGGACCTTTAATACATAAGCCAAAGAAACTCTAAACTTGGTTGTATATATAGAGACTATATCTGAGTCATGAACAATGACATCAAAATACGGAAAAACATCTCTTTCCATCTCTCCCTACCAATGTACTATGTCCAGGGCACGAATGGTAAAAACAAGTATAATCTGTTTTTCCCCAAGTTAATGAGTCATGTCCATGTCAAGAATTTGATGACATTAACAATTATTGAGTCAGAGTTCCAACCATGCTAGTTACAAAGAATTTAAGCCCTCCCTGACCCCAGACTTGATCTTTATGGCTCACATTCCTCCTCGCCGCGTCTACTGCTGCCAGGGGCTGGAAATTGAAGGAGCACTTGCTTCTTGGTGACTGCCCCTCAGCCTCAGACTGCATAAGGTGGATGGGCGTGGTCCATTCTGGGACTCTGGGTAAGCGTGTTATAAAGAGTTCCATGGGGACATGGTCGCAGAGAACCACAAGGACACCACCAGTGCTGCACTCAGAAATATCCCTCTTCTGTCCTCTGGGGCCCAAGGCCAGAAGAAGGATGAGTGGCTCTCCCTGACACCCCGTCCCTCTGGTGGAGGCAGGCTGAGGGAGGGGAGCACAGCCTCTGTCTTGGATCTGAGGTCTGTGAGGCCAACTATCTGACCTGAGGTACCCTGCCTATAAATATGCCTGTTACAGTGTCATGCTAGAAATGTGATATTTTAGCTCACATTGGGGTTTTCTGAGTTCACATTCAAGGTACACTGTAGTGATGGGAGTTAGACAATTTTGGACTAATGGTTCTCTTCCTCTAGGCTCTGGATTTGTCAAAGGACACATCTGAGGGACAGCTTCGTGAAAGCAAGGCAAAGGAACATTAGTAGGGAGTGTTGACTGTTGAAAACGCCCCCTCTGGCAGGGCATTTAAATCCAGGCAGCCCTGTTCAGCTCTTCTTGGTATTCATCCCTAGGACTCATCATTAGCTGGAAAGAAAAGAAATTTTAAATAGCAAAGCCGTACAGGTTAGTGTCACTAATTCTCTTAAATGTAATTAGAATGTTTTCTTAAACTACTGAAATTTTCAAGCTATACTAGATAGAAGTGCTAGGAGGTCTTTCCATTTGGCACTTATTATTCAATGAAGTAGTTAAAACAATTCTTATCAGATACTGTTTGCAATGTTTGTTACAATACAGTAAAATCCTCATCTTATTTCATCTTAAAATGTTTAATATTTTCTATTTCCTATTAATAAAAAGTAAATAAGACCCTACATACAGACGAATTATTTTTGACTGCATCTACCTTCTTTTTCATTAAACATAAAAGAAAACATTAGATAGGTTCATCTCATCAAGAAATGCAGTCAATAAAATTTCACTTTTATGCTCAATAATTATTTACCAAAATTTGTAATGTATTTATGTTGTTTTAAATGTCTACTAATCATAATTAATAATAACGGAGAATAGCTTTATAAAATTATGTATGTGTTTTTGTAGTAATTTAATATGATAGGAGTTCAATAAAAGGTTTACAGTCATAAAATATGTTAAAGTAACAGTTTCATGTTCAGGGGACATCGGCAACAGCATTGACTTACAGACTGGAGGGGGCACGTGGGCGGAGCCCTGGCCCAATCCCGCTCCAGAAGAGGCGGTGGACTCCGCCCCTGACCTCTGCTTTTCTCACCAAGCCCGGTGCTACCCTGAGCGCTGTGTACTCCTCGGAGCAACAAGAACATTCTAGTTTTGAGATCCTATGAGATCTCAGCTTCAACCTCAAACATTTTAAAAGTCTAATAATAGAGTATGGAAACGCGGCAGCCCTGGGTTTTAAGATATTCTGCTGTAAGTCAGTGTAAAGAAGCAGTTGCTTGAATCCTGGCAGTAACTTAAAATCCCTAGAAATTTAAGGTTCCAGATAGAAAATTACAACTATAGAACTCATTCACTTTAATTAATTTATTTATTTTTGGTGAGGAAGACTGGCCCTGAGCTAACATTTGTGCCAATTTTCTTCTACTTTATGTGAGATGCGGCCACAACGTGGCTTGATGATTGGGGCTAGGATCTGAGCCCTCAAACCCTGGGCCGCCTAAGCGGAGCTGAACTTAACCACTACACCACAGGCCGGCCCCTCACTCACTTTAAGAAGACAGAATTCAGTAGGCATATCTTTGGATTAATGTGTTAGAGGCCATATTGAGCTCACCTGGGAGAAAGGTGGGTATATCTCACAGTGGAGCACAATGCAAAGCCAGACGCTCATATTTTTCAGAAAAAAATATATTCCCAGTGTTAGGTCTTATGAAAGCCTCCGTATAAAAATGCTTCAATATTATAAATTACGTCTGTCTAATTCTTGGACTTGAATCATTATTATTTATGGGAATTATTAATAGTGATAACAAATAACCATACAAGCTAAATATCAGCACTAAGTATGTTAATAAAAGATACTCAAAACCTTTTTAATGGCAAATGAAATCAATCCTTTTCATTATTTTCTGAATTCAAAAATTGTAAAACGTGTGGCCACCCAGATGAGCCAGCCATGCTCACAGGCCAGTGAGCATCGTGCCTTGTTGTTAAATATAGATTCTGAAATTGAGAATCAGAGTCAAATTCTCTTTCAATTACTGTTAGTTCTACCTTTAAAATAAATTGATCGAGGTGTAATCCTGCAAGTAACAGTTTTATATTTAAGTGATTAAGAACTACTTTCAGGAAGAATAATGGTCTCTATTTCCTTCATAATTCTAATAAGTTATCTAAATAGTCTATGTTTCACAAGCCCCAAAAGACAACCAGCATTAGCAAACTTTCTTTGGTAATCAGATGTTCAAATATATACTGTTATGAAACTAAAATTTAAGATTATTCAGTGAGTCGCCAATGAGAAAAATGAAAGCATTTCTACTGGACTTTTTAAAAAATAATAAATCTCTAGTTCTTTGCGGGCTCAGAAACTTGGGTGATGATTTATTTGTGAATATTGATTGACTATTGATTTCTTTAATTTGCCGGTTTTCTTGGAGAGTTACAGATTCACAATCAGCAGGTGAAAAAACAGGATTTGAGTGCATCTGGAGCCGAGGTGTTGAATGGGTCAGCGGCGTGGGGTCTCCGGGCACCACTGGTCTCAGTTGGGCCTAAGAGAACTGAGCACAGCAAGGCTGTTTCTGCTCAGTGCTAACGCAGAGCTGTCGGAGGTGGAAGACTCCAGGGCCAATGGCACCACTGAGAGCACTGATTCCCATACTTTAAGGTGTCCAAGAGTCACCTGAGGATATCATGAAATTGGATTTCATTCGGTGGCTTTGGGTGTGAGGCCTGATATTCTGCATGTCTGACAAGCTCCCAGGAGACATTGATCCTGCTGGACCACTTGGAGTAGCACAAATTTAGAGCGCTGACACTGTTCTTCCGGTTTAGAGATGAGATGTGTGGCCAGGAGTTGGAGGCCCAGGCGCTCTCATCCAGTTGGCTGCTAAGCAGCTGTAAGAATGAAAAATTACGTAACCTCTAAGGGACCTATTATCTCCTTCCGTAAAATTACAGGGCTTGACCAGGCGATGTGTCAGTCTCTTCAGAACCATCACATTTAAGGATTTTAAGATAACTCTTATTTTTATTCTGGCTGCTATCTTCTATATTTTCCCTCATAAACAGTTAGCAAAATTAGAAAGTTTTATTGCACTGTATTACTCCCAAAGTCACCATTGAGCTGTGCTTTGTGTTCTTTGCTTTCTATTTTTTTAACGGCAATTTCCACATTCTTCCCCCATAATACTTAGAACTATATATAAGATTTGTATTTTCCTTTAATTTTAAGGAGAATTCTTATGAATATTGAGTCTGTGGGGTTAGTTATCTGTTGCCCAAATGAGAATGTAGTTCCTATTATTTCACATTTTTTAGAGAAGCGTAGTATTCTTAAATACAGGGCGACCCCCTAATTGGAGCTAATCTCATACACTGCACCTCTGCTAAGTGGCAATGGCTGGAAATGGTTTCAAAGTGCATTTAACAGGGAACGAATTCTTTCCCTTCTCTGAATAGCATTTGAGTCAGCTCCTTCCTGTTTATTCCCATGATCAACACTTTTATTCAGAACTTCATTAACTCTTATCTGGACTGCTGCACTACTCTACCCACTGATGTCCCACCTGCAGCCTTTCTACTCCATAATTATTCCAGTACAGTCCTGCCAGAGCAATGGTCACAAATTTCAGCAAAGTACATGCCCCTTCCAGTCAAAGTCCTGCAATGGGCCTGCCTTCAACACCTTCATGCCATGGGGTCAGGTTTCCACTACTTGCCCTTACCATGGATTTTCTACACCTTTCATATCTGTGCCTCTGTTTATCCATCTCCTCTAACTTCTTCTATCTACCTTCTATAAAACCTTACTCATCCTTCAAGACCTATTGTAAATGCCAATTCTTACTTAAAGTGTAAGATTCTCCCAGCAAGAGGTTGAACTCATATAACACCTTGCTTTCGATCCTCTTCTCTACTCAGCACCTCCTGCCCTATGTTATAATTTCTGCACGTGCTTCCCCCCACCCTCTGCTCTACAGTTCTTGGCAGTTTGTGGTATGTCTGAATTATCTTTGGAGTTCTTCCAGTGCTTTTCCAGTATCTGTATCTGTATCTGTTAAAGAAATGAGCGGATGTATAATATAGCTTCAGTATTGTTCTGCAGATCAAGATGCTCAGAAACTGCGGAAGTTTAAAAATTATTTGGCTTCTCTATTAGTTATTTTTGGCAAATTACTTAATCTCTATGATCCCGTATTCTCTCGTATATTTTGGGGGAGGGGATAAGGGATGTCTAGTAATTCTTTTTACTCAATGAATATATTTATAAAGCACTATGCTATATAAATGCTGGAGAAGAGGGGAATCTTATCTTTCTGGATCAAGGTAAATCTTGTCATAGGATAAGTGTGTTTCAGATTCAATACTGTGTTGTTAAGAAAATTTTATGTATGAATTCAGAATATACAAAGATGATATAATTTATATTTAAGACTCTAAAGATGCAATGCAATTACATCGGCTTCACAATTCATGACTACACAGGGTTAACATTTTCAAAAGGAAAAGTAGAATTTCTTCCGTAAGATACCATATACCCATTTTAGGAATTCTCCCACTATTGTCTGTCATGGTTTGGGGACCTTTAATGGTGTCCTGTGCAAGATACAGTGTACATTAATTATTTTCTTAAAAAATGAAAGTGAAAAGTAAAAATATCCATAATCATTATAGAATTTGTGAACTTTGGGCACATACCAAATTGATTTTCTGTGCTTCCTAAGATTCAACATGCTGGTTAGGAGTTTTCAGCTGCAGGGCATCAGCCTTTTAGGACGCTAGGTTGCTGTATCAACACAGTATTATAATAACCATAAGAACGTTAAAAGATGGAGTTTGAGAAAACTTGTTCCATAATAAAAAAAAAATTAGCTTTAATTGACCTGTAATATTACAAAAAATTTTTAGACTAATAGAACATTAAAATACCTTAGTCTTACATAATTTTAAATATTAATTGAATTTCAGTTCCAGTCAATTCCACTGCCAGAAAATATAACATTTAAGCAATTATGACTAAGCACAAATATAATAACTTAATTCAATAAGACTTTAAAAATTGCTTGAGAAATCTATGTTAACTTTAGAGGAATTCTCCCATCTTTGTCCACCAATCCTAATTTAAGAAAAACAGGGTTATAATTCTCCAAAGAATGTTTCCTATAATATTCTTTTCTTTTGGCACCTATATATCGCTCCACTGAGTAATGGAAAGCACATGTCTATAGAGAAATTGAAACCAGTAGACACTACCCATTATACTCATTTGAGAGCCTTATTTTGTCATAATATTCACCACTTGCTTAACATTCGTGAGACTGTTTCATGCCAGGACTTAGTTCATCAGTGAGAAAATCAATGGAAGTTTGAATGTGTTCTTAACTCCCAGGTTACATACGCTCGCGATATTCTCTTTAAGTGTCTTTCTTCAAAGGATAGAAGCATATAGCTTAGACGGCACCATTCAGATGGTCTCGGTTGAAATGAATGTAAAGGTTGTCTCTCTGTTTATTCATGGAATTACCTCTTTGATTTACTGAGGAATATAACCCAGCCTTACTGCAGATCGTGATTCTGTTCTCAGAGTGATTATTTACAGAATGACTCAGTGCAAAGCAAGAGAGTAACAACAAACCGAAAAAGCAGGTTTTGTGCTGACAGTCTTTACATCATGTTAGAAAAGCCTATGTGGGACTTTCCTCACAAATTTAAATATCTTCATAATTTAGGAAAATTATCCCCTTGGCTCCTGAAGAGAGAGCTGAAGCTGCAAGCCTGTGGAAAAGCATGTATAATCTGATAACACAGGCTATTGCCCAAAACATCCTCCTACGCTTTTACTAAAGCTCTCACTAGCTTTTGCCGTGTACCTTACGGCACGGGGACCTATCATTTAAACAGGCAGACTCCATGCGGTGGCCTCCAGAGTGGGGCGGGAGTGCTGCTGGCATTCCATGAGATGGTTTCAGGGGGTACACCAACTAACATTTTGTATTTTAATAAACATGTATTTATTTTAAAGTGTATTAGAAAAAAACACAACTAGCAAATTGAACTCACTCTATGGTTATTCTTCCTTGGGTCAAATTTTCTTTTTACATAAATTTAAGTTTAAAAAGTGTGTGCAGGGGCCGGCTCCGTGGCCGAGTAGTTAAGTTTGCGCGCTCCGCTATAGCAGCCCAGGGTTTGGATCCTGGGTGTGGACTTGGCACCCCTCGTCAGGCCACTTTGAGGCGGCGTCCCACATTCTCCCACATTCCACAACTAGAAGGACCTGCAACTAAGATATACAACTGTGTACAGGGTGGGTTTGGGGAGATAAAGCAGAAAAAAAAAAGTGTGTGCATTTAAAGAAAATATTGCATATTTACAGCGTAAGTGCTTCTGACAAAAGTCATGACGGAAGCTGGGAAATCTTCAAGTGGAGAAGTGAGGTGGAAAGATTGGGATCAGGTCACAGTGGTCCCGGCTCTGGGTCTGTCACTAACTAGCTGTACCACCTCAACCAAGTCAGACCTCTTTGGGCATCTGTATGACTTATTCGTAAAGAGATTGTTGGGGTGACCGCTGAGGTCCACCCAGCACCATCACTCTGTGATGTCTGTTCTCTGGTCAAATGCTGTTGTAAGAAACACCAAGCTCTGGGGCTGGCCCCGTGGCCGAGTGGTTAAGTTCGCGCGCTCCGCTGCAGGCGGCCCAGTGTTTCGTCGGTTCGAATCCTGGGCGCGGACATGGCACTGCTCGTCAGACCACGCTGAGGCAGCGTCCCACATGCCACAACTAGAGGAACCCACAACGGAGAATACACAACTATGTACCGGGGGGCTTTGGGGAGAAAAAGGAAAAAATAAAATCTTTAAAAAAAAAAAAAAAAAAAAAAAGAAACACCAAGCTCTGTAACACAAAAGTAAGCATTCTCAGCCTTAACACAAGATGTGCTCACTTAAAACTTGCCAGGGAAATCAGAGGCCCTACTGTGGAACTCTTTGGAGATTAAAACACTCTATTGGTAGGTTAGACCAATCCTTTGAAAAACTGGAGAAAAGCTTGATTTTTCACTTTTTTTGCACATGGGAGGGATTCCAAGTGCCTTTGGATTCTCTCACCAACATGACAACTAACAGCAGAGAGCTGTACGTGCCGTATTTCTCACATGCTACTGTCATTCTCTCTGGGAGTGAGAAGCCTGATGTCCGCTATGCAGTCAGGTGAAGGACTTCAGCAGTCAGTCATGGAAGGGGGAAAAGAAGGACGAACACCAGCTTAAGATAAAGAATTGTGTTTTAAGAAACGGGAGGAGCATGAAGCTTAAGATAACCTAAAATAGCTGGTCCGGTCTCTGGTTTTAATTTTTCCCTCTGAAAGTAGAAAACACGTTATCCGGTTACCCATTTTCAGGGGTGATGGAATTTGCACCCCAAGTTAGCACTGTGTGCCCCTACTAAACGGTCTTGAATTCCTTCTCTGCCCAATGGCTTGGGAACACAAGTTCAAGTCAGAGCTCAAAACTGAGCACCAAAAAAGCATTCAATGCAGAAAATCTCTACCAAGTAATATTTTCACAGCCAGGCTCTTTGTTGTCTAAAATAATCTCTGTAGTTGGAGAAGAGAAACACCACTCCCTTGAAGTGGAGTTGCTGCCCCTTTTTCTAGATGGTCTCCGGCCTCGCAGGGAAGACCGGCTTCCTGAAGGTTACCCATCGTGGCTTCTGACCTAGGCTAAAAAGAAGGCAGATTAGCCAATCAGATTGTGAGTGAAAAAGAGAGGCTTTTGATGATGATGATGATGAACTCTGTGAATATCTAAGCATTTTGGAAATTATCAAATTAAAGACTAAAGTGCTTTTATTTTCTATTTGACATACTAATTACATCTATTTAACCTATTCAGCTCAACAAACAAATGAACAAACACCAACAAAACCAATACAATCTATTTTTTGTGGAAATACATCTGCTTGTACTGGTGCAAAAAAAATGGAAAAGATGCTATGGGCGAAAATTTTTACCTGTGATCTCTAAAAGGGCGTTTTCACAGAGCACAGCTAAACACACAACACATAAATAGAGAAATCAGCCGTCTGGAGTACCAACAACTTCATTATCTGTTGTAATTTCAAAGTAGCTTTTCCTATTCTCTTGTTAAAACTATAGACATGCATTCTTGATGTGTGATAATATTTTGATCCTTGTCATCCTCAGTTGCAGTGAGCCTCCGGCACTCGGGGAAAGACCAGGCAGGCTGTTGGAGTTGCTGCTGACTTTGGATCAGTCACTGCTGATTCAGTCTCCTCTGCAGAACAGCAGCCAGTCTTTGTCTGGTCTCGTTTACTGAAGATGCTCGGCCCCTGGGAGGATGTGGTTGGGGCAGAGTGGACAAACCTGAGCTACTGCCCCTCCCGGGCTGAGCTGAGGGTGGGGATGTGGTGGGTTTTGGCACTCCATGCAGGCTGGAGATTTTGACTCTTTTTTCAGAGTTCAGTCTTGCCAGGCTCCTCTCTCCGCAATTACTGCCCACCGCAGCAGAGGAGGTTAGGCTGCCCCGGCTGAGGGAACACGGTGACAACGGCAAGCTTCCACTGAGCTTCCTGAGCTCCAGGAGCTGTTCTCTGGCTTGACTCAAAGCCTCCGTCAGTTCAAAGCGTTCTTCACACTCTCTACGCACTGTTTCCTGAAGAAAAGTGTTCTGAAATGAGAAAAATGGGAAGAAGCATCCCTCGCTTTAAACAGTGTCCACGTGGATGGTTACTGGCACTATAACCTGAGAGCTGAGCCAGTAATCAGAGGTCTGTGCTCTCTGACGGTCGCGGTGGGTACTCTACCACATGGCACAGACAAGGCAAAAACGCAAAATCACTTGTGAAGCTGGAAAGAACTTTAAGAGGACATTTGATTGAACCTTGCCGTTGGCAGAAGAGGAAACAAGAGCCAGCGTGACTCAGATGGTAGTGGTGGGCCTGGGGCTGGCTAACCCAGAGCATCTAGAGCCCACTTAGGGTTTCAGCTTCTCTGTGCCTTGTGTCTCCGACAGTATGTGCCACACGTGTAATATCTGATAGTTAATATCTGGAGTGTCATGAAGCATGTTATTTTATAATAAAGGTAAACTGCAATACGTATGACAAACAGATAAAACTGCCTGAGTTATAAAATTGAAAGAATAAAACATATACGTTATAGAATTTAAACAATAAAATCAGTCTGATGCTTCCTCAGGAGAGCTTATACTGATCATTTGCTGTCCCGTAAGATATATAAGAACAGCATCTTCTGCTTTCAGCTCCAGTCAGCAATCATTTATCAAGTTAGTGGAAGCTGTAGTGGATACAGTTCCTGCTCTGAAGAAGTTTGCAGCCTCATAAGTTTGAGCAGAGCCACTTTTTATGTCCCAAACAGAATTTGGAGCCAAGGGTGGAAGCTAAGGGATTTAAAAGAAGGGAGAATGTTTTAATAGCCAGAGCTGTCCAGAGGATACTCTGAGGTTGAATCTCACTTGACTGGGATATATTGGAGCAAATTTAAGCTTTAAATATATGACTGGACTGGAGATCATTAAGGCCCCTTCAAATTCTGAGACTCTAGATTTCCAGTTGAAGAGTTACCCATCTGTGGAACTCATGAAAACATTTCAAGGCCCATGGTAAGAATTAGGTCTTAGAACTCGCCAACGTCCTGACAGTCATGTCTGCAGGATGTCAAAAAAGAGGTTGAAAAGTAAACAATTCATGGGGCCATCCTGGTGGCATAGTGGTTAAGTTCACGTACTCCACTTTGGTGGCCCAGGTTCACAGGTTTGGATCCTAGGCACAGGCTTACACCACTCATCAAGCCATGCTGTGGCAGAAACCCATATACAAAATAGAGGAAGATTGGCACAGATCTTAGCTCAGGGCCACTCTTCTTCAAGCAAAAAGAGGAAGATCAGCAACAGATGTTAGCTCAGGGCCAACTTCCTCCCCCCACTCCCAAAAAGAAAAATAAACAATTCAAAATGGTATCCAAATAAGTGAACACAATTAAAATGATTGTGCTATAGGATTCTTCAACTAAAAATGAATTTCGATCAGGTTAGCTTATTTGTAAAAACAGCCAAGGCATTCCTAAGTGTGATTCTCAGTGGAATGCAACCTCCGAACGGTTTACTGACTAATTGCTGTCAGTGGAACCAAATAACAAAGCATCAGGGAAAGGAGCATCTTCCCGTATTTGAGTTTCTTGTGATTATGTCAGAACTCTATTCAATTCCAAATTTGGTAATCAACAAGGAAGAATATGGAGCAATTCCAGATCAACAGTTGCACAGTAATTTTCCATAAAATCAGCAGCATGTCTGTGTCAGACAAAGCCTCATCATTTACATAGATTATTAACATACATACATGACCCATATAGCCACATATTTTTTTTAAATCATGGGGGTTAGTTATTTGCTTCCAGTTCTTTATTTATTTATTTATTTGAGAAACAGGGGACCAAGGACAGTGTTTGTGGCTTTATTATCTGGTTCTCAAGAACCCTACCTGAAATACTTGTTGAAAGAGCAGGGGAGGGGGGCTAGAGAAGAAGAGTGACAAGGGGCTACGTTAGGTGTCATCTCAGCTCCATCTCCCAACAGCTATATTGGAAAGAAAGACGCTGAAGCTCAGCCCGGTTGTGTAACTTACTGAGAGTAGCCCAGCTCCGAGGTGGTGGGGCCGGGCCTGCCTGCAGAGCCCTGCTTTGACCACCTCTGCAGCAAGCGTCTAATAATGACATCAAGCATGCAGCGGCCACTTCGGTCCAGGACACTGAAGCAATAAAAAACAGCAAGACATTTCCTCTAGTTTTGCCCAAGTTCTCTTAACTTAATCATCTAAACTTTCTTTTAAAAAGAAAAAACATCAATGCATTATGCTTCCTATCTACTAGTAGAATAAGCTGACAAATGTGTTGAAGTGATTAGATTTAAGAGGCTTTCAATAAATTAGTATAAAAATTCCCTTGATAATAAAGCTATGAAAAAGAGTTAATTTTATTTGAATATATAAAAGAAAAAATGGATAGCAGTTAACAATGAGGTCAATAAATTGGTGACATAAATAACAGGTGCACCAATATGGAAGGATAAAGTGATGGGCGATTTGATAAGAGCTCTCATTAAAAGAAAAATAAAATTCAATCCATTTTCTAAAATTAAATTCAATTCTCAAAGGAAAGGAGTAGTACTCCACGGAAAACATCCATAAAGCAAGTCACTTAAGAGCTATTTCAACCAGGTGACACCCTACTATAAAGGAGGACATGAGAAGGTGGAGTGAACCCAAAGATGTCCCTATACCAGTACAATGGAGCGAAGTGCTGCCAGCTCCAGACTGCACCTTGAAAGGGCCGCTCACCATCTTGGTGTGGGCCCACTGCTCTGGAACTCATCCCTCTTCAAGGCTATTAGCTTCCAGAGCAAAGGACTAATTCTCTTTCTTCTATTATTTCCCAAACCATGAGGACCTTTGAACTGAAGACAGGACCCAAAGTTGGGACTTCTATTTTTGTCTGTGCCACAAACACTCAAATGTCAGGTGAAGCTCTCAGTATCTGCATATCCTCTGCCACCATGACCTCCTCCTTTAAAATCGAGATTATAACTCAGTTTTGTACAGGCAGTTCAAACGTTATAATTTATTCAATCATGGAGTAAAAAAACAGAAATGGAAGACATCAAGTTTAGGGGTTGCTATTTCAGGATGGAGTGTGTGTGACAGGGCATGACAGGAACACATGTGGATGTGACTAGAGTCAGGAAGGCACATTAGTGGAAAATTCCATGGAATTTCCGTGGATAAGAATCATTCACTCGTGGTTAGATTGTTTTCAGCAATTTAGGCAAAATGTTCGTTTTTTTGGAAGTTTGTGTTGTTGCAGAATTTTAATAGATGTTTTTATCGAACAACATGGAAAATGTGTACGATGGAATATGTTCAGTAAGATTGAAAATCATGGGCAAATGTGAGAATAATGAGTGAAGCCACAGCATTCTAAACGTTTCAGCCCTATGTCATCGCTGGCCCTGTTTTAGCATGGTAAAACAACGTCACTGGATTGCAGCTAAAGTGGAAGTCAAAATGGAAAGGGAGGCTTGAGCCAGGTGGAGACGGGCAGTGGGGTTTGCCAGGCAAGGAGGGCAGTGAGAGAGGGCGGGGCACATCTTGGGATGACACATGGCTTTGGATGACTCAAGGGCAGACTGCACAAGGGGAGGAAAGACCAGGACCGAGGCAAGGAGGGGTGAGCAGTGTCAGATCAAGGACAACTTTGGTAACAGGCTAATACCAGAATTTTAACTTAATTCTGAGGGCCATATGGAGTCATTGAAAGGTTTATTTCAAGCAGGGGGCTGGCATGGTCAAATTTGCATTAAAGAAAGATTCCTTTGCCAACTGTGGAAAATGGCCCCCAGTAGGGCAAGATGGGAGGCAGGAAGGCCAGGAGGAGGCCAGAGTGTTCCCAGAGGAGACTCCTCCCCCGAGTGCCCTCTGGTTAGGGGCATCTAGGGAGGGAGAACCAGTGTTCCTTGAGCTCTACAGATTGGTGAAGAGTATATAGATGTGTCTGCAACATGTTCAGATGAAGGCCACTTTGAATGGGCTTAAAATATGGCTTAACTGCACTCCCACTGGGTAAGCAAATGTCAAAATGAAAATATAAATCAGTTCACCATCTGCTTGAAACTTCTAATATTAAAAAATGGCCAATTTGCCCCACTCTTTGCAATGTAAGAGTGGCTTATTTTTATGTTTGTTTTCGTTTTTATCCTGAGAGACAGCTGGATTGCTTTCAATCCCAAAAACAGTGGAAGAAGCAAGAGAAGGGTTTGCTGGGTAGCTTGATCATCCCATTTGTGATGGCCATCAGCTGCATTTGGCATAAGTCGGGGGAGCGTGCCAGGAAAGCGGTCCTGAGTGAGGAATCAGCACAGGTGGCTGTATTTGTCCACGCTTTATACCCAGTGAGGTGGGAGCCGGGCATGGCACCATCGGATTACAGCTTCCACCCACCCAGACTAGGTGTGTCCCAGGGTGAAAGGGTGGCTGGCCAACTGGGTGGGGAGCTGAGGTGAAAGGAAACTGTGGAAGAGGTGTGGAAACCAGAAAGAGGAGTATGAGTGAGCAAAGGACATGCCCAAACTTCCGTTTAAGGCTCCTGTTCAACTGATCTGATCAGCTCAAAACACCGCAGGAAAACGGTGGAAAGGCAGGGATGAGAATCTGAATAAATTTCCGGGAAAGAAGTTAAGATGGATGTCAGGCAGGTTGTTCTTAAAATTGTGTTTCTGTGCTTTCAAACATAATGGACCCCATGAGGTGACGGCGGCAGACACCCCAGAGCGGAAGAGGAGACAGGGCGACAGCCCTCCGACCTCTAGGCTTCAAAGGCTGGTTTGCAGATGGGGGAGGAAGAGCCCACAAAGACACAGTGTTCGGGAATTACTTTTCTAAGTCAATAATCTAACTTTAATTAAGATTTAATTCATATTCATAAACACAACAAAAGCAATTTCTTCATATTTTTTCTCATTCTGTCGATTTTCTGGCAACTATACTCTGCGTCTCCAACATGTCAGACCGCCCAGGCTGGATCTCCCTCTCCGTGGCCGGAGACTCTCCGTCTGAGCCCCCATTTGCCCCAAGCCCCAAGGCGAAGGTTCTTGGG